AAATTCATTTATTCAACAATTCTAAAAACACACAGAAAACAATCTTAAAAAACAAAACAAAACACAGAAAGGAAACAGAAGCAGATAATCAAGACTTATCAATTCCTCCAAGCCCTCAAAAAAAAAAAAAAGAAATCTCAAAATATACTTTGAACATTCTGCTAAATCACTGACTCCACTCTATGGTTGCAGTTTGTTTTCTTGCGTCTTGTCTCCACTTCACCCTCCTCTTTTCCATGGTTGCTGCCTCCATATCTTGGTGAAATTATCCTCCAACTGGACCTCTAGCTGTGATCCCAAGCATTATCCTCAAAGCCAAATGGTCCATCCACTGAGAAACTCAGCTTCTACTCTGGAGAATTAACCCACACTCTTGAGTAAGGAAGCTTGTCCTCACAAGGTCATTGTGAGGTTGTCAAAGTAACACTTGACAGTTAAATATGGAGTACATTTGCTCTAACATGAGGAAGCAAGAATTGATTCTTTAAGCACATTTTTCTATGCATGGGGTCCCATCTGCTGGGATGGTGTTTTTCTACTGTAGGAGGAAGAATCAGGTGATGGCAGAGGCACAGTCATATCTATGGAAGAGAATCTCTGGCCTCCAAAGAGTTACAGACTATAGATCCGGGGATAAGGATAAGGAGATGAGCTCTCCAAGGTCAGCTCCCTGTTATGTCCCGCACCAGAAGTCTTGACCATTATTTCACTGAAACATATCTATCACATTCTTTGCCAGTTTTCTGTCAAAGCAAGATTACTGTGGTTAATCTCAGATTTCTAGTGGAAAGGCTGAGCCTTAGAGAAGCCATTATAGAAGGGTGAGTTCTAAGCAGAATGCAAGTGTACCATGCAAAGGACAATGAGCATAAAGTGAAAGCTTTTATGCTCATAAAATTTTGGTGATTGATTCATTTACCTTCTCAATGAAGTGGCTGATGGTTTAACTCTTCAGGAAAAACAAAGACCCCAGAGATTTATTTCACAAATGGTTTTATATAAACATGTATTCATCAGCAAACTGTTTTCTATACGGTATATAAAAAATAAACTATTTTTTCAGTTGCAGTCTGCTGGATAGTGCCTTTTAAAAGTAATTTAGGCAACTTAAACAAATTGGAGATGTTGATACCGTGGTGAGAGGTGATGTCAGTGTCCTGCATACTACCACTCTAATTTTGGTTTCCCAGCAGCTTAAAACTTGGTGATTCTATGTAAAGAACTATATCTGGTTTTATGAGAAAAAGAAATCTATACAGATACACAAGAGAACATGTTTCATAGTATTGCATTTTAAATAAGACTCAGGAAGTTCTGCCAATTGCATTTTATTAAAGTCTAACTAAAGCTTGGTCTAAAATGTGACTATTTCAGTAATTAGAAGTCATTAAAGTTATTTTGTTATGACAAGTTTAGAGAAGTAGAAAGAAGAAGCAAATGGTTAGCAATAACACCTTTCTATTATGAATTATTTTAGAGATTTTTTAAAAATAGGCACTTCAATGACTTGAAATAATTATATCTTTTTGTTGTTGTTGTTTAAATAGACTTCTCCCCTATTTATCTTGTAGTTAAATATTTTTTGGTTAATTGTAGATTCAGCCATGTTTGGTATTAAAAATGCATGTTTTTTCCAGGCATTTATATCACACCCCAAGATACAAAAAAGGAAGCTGTTGTTCACAGAAGAACCTGACCCATAGCCTCTGACAGATTCTAAGGGCAGGTCCTAGTGCAGTTGTAGATATTTCCACCCTATGCATCTTATGGTGTTGTGGCCTAAATGTGACTGTAAAACCTATTCATTAAAATTAGTTGGGCTGGGCACAGTGTCACATGCCTGTACTCCCAGCATCTTGGGAGGCTGAGATAGGAGAATCACAAGTTCAAAGTCAGTCTCAGTAACCTAGAATGTCCCTAAGTAACTTAGTGAGACTCTGTTTCAAAAGAGAAAGAAGTGGGGATGTGGGTCAGTGTTTAAGGGCCCCTGGGTTCAATCCCCAGTACCTCCCCCAAACTAGTTGGTACCATTGACTCATTTATTGTGTCAAATTCATTGGTATATTTATTCTATTCCTTAAAGGCCTTAAAATAAAATTTTTAATAAATTGCTTTTAAAAATTTCATGTGGAGGGCTGGGGTTGTGGCTCAGTGGTAGAACACTTGCTTAGCATATGTGAGGCACTGGATTCAATTCTCAGGACTGCATATAAATAAATGAATAAAATAGAGGTTCATCAACATCTAAAAATATTTTAAAAATTCATGTGGAATGCCAAGATTATTCAAGAGGGAAAGAACATTTTCAACAAATGGTTGTAGTTAAACTGGATATCCATATGCAAAAGAAAGAAGTTGGACCTCTCCCTTACATTGTATACAAAAATTAGCTTAAGTAGGTAAAATACCTGAATATAAGTGCTGAAACTATAAAAACACTTAGAAGGCAACAAGAGAAAACCTTTTGTGACATGGGATTTGGTAAGAATTTTCAAAATAACATGGAAAAACAGGCAGTAAAAAAATGAATTAATAGGATTTTGTCAAAAGTAAAAACTTTTCATCATAAAACAGCTCTATAAACATAATGAAAACACAGTCCACAGAATGGGAGAAAATGTCTACAAATCATATATGTATTGAGAAATTAGTATAAGAAAATGTAAAGAACTACTAAAACAACAACAATAAATACCAATTAAATAATGGGTAAGGACTTGACTAGATATTCTTCCAAAGAATATATACCAGTGGCAAATAAGCATGCAAAAATGTTCTACATAGCAATTAGAAAAATAAAAGTCAGTACTACAATATCTACAATACAATGAAATATTATCTAAACTTAAAAAGGAAGGAAATTATGACACATGCTACATGATGAATGAAACTAAAAGACTTTGCCAAATAAAATGTCTAGACAAAGCACAAATATTGTGTGTGATTCCACTCATATGAAGTACCTAGAGAAGGTATCATAATCTGTTTTGTACTGCTGTAACAGCACCTTAAAACCAGAGAACACGTGATTTTTAATGAACAGAAGTTCATTCTTTCACAGTTCTGGAGGCTGAAAAGTCTAATATCAATCTATCACATGTGGAAATGGCCTTCCTGCTGACTCATAATATGGTAGAGAGTATCACATGATGGGAGGGCAAAAAGGGCGGTCACCAGAGGCAGAAAGACGGCCAAACTTGCCCTCATTAAGAACTATTCCTCTGATAAGAAATCCACTATCTGTTACAGGTTGAACAGATATTCATCACTTCCATAGGAGACAGAGCTCACATAAGGTCCTCCCAGCAGCTGGGGCAGCCAATTGTAGTGTGGGAGATAGTGGAGGTGGGGGCGGCCTCTAGCAGACTGATGGCTTTAAAGCTTGAGTCCAGGTGTTGCAAAACCAGATGCTTGAAGCTTAGTGACCTTTGAGGACCCAAGAAGTCTTCAGAGAGCACCTGCAGAAGGTTTGGCCACACCAGGTGAGTGCCACCAGCCTCACTGAGGTATGGCAGGAACAAGGACTAAGAAGAGGGGAACTCTGTAAGGACAAGGTCTAGAAGACAAGTGCAACCCCCAGGAACAAGAGCATCTGCACAGTCAGGCTTGAGGTGGGGAAGCAGAATAAGGTGTTTTCGGAATGCAAGGAGGCACTGAGACCACTCAGGGGGCCCCAAGTAGTGCAAGTCATGCAGGTCTGGTCAGGTAGGACAGTGCAGTTCTATCTTGTCACAGCCTGCAGTGATGTAACATACTCTGGCCTCAGTGAGCATGTGCAAGGGCTGGAGCAGATGACAGCCCTTGGCCAGGAATTGTAGAAGTGAGCCTGGGAGGCCTGACCTGATACCATACCCCACAGCCCTAGGACTTACCCACCCCTGCCCAGGTATTCACCTGTAGTTCTGGCTTGTGGTTACTTGGCCACTTTTCCAGTCCTTAGTTGGGTAGTGAGTATGGGTGTGGAAGGCACACTCTCAAGTGTGGAACTGCTGGAGTGTTGGGTGCTGTCCTTCTCAGTTTCCCGAGGAAGGGCATTACATAAAGCTTTCATTCAGGAAGGGGAGGTTCCAAGATGGTTATCATCTCCTCTCTATATTAGTCAAGAATAAAGTGTGAGATAGCCTGGAAAATTTTTGGGACCTTTACCTCTACTTGGCCTCAGCTGCCTCATTAATACAGTTTTTCCCAGGTGATCTCATTAATTGATACAAGACCTGGACCAATGACTTTCTAGTTGTTGACTTAAACTTTTGACTGAATAGCAATCTTCACACCCTTATATGCTTAATTACCATTTCATACACTGACACAATTCCTAAAGCTCTGGGAATGCTGCTTTTAATTTTGGTAGTTTGATCGAATCTGGCTTGGTTGCTTTAATCCAACCAAAACTGTTATGGTTTGGATATGAAGTGTTTCCCAAAGATTCATGTGTTAAGGGCTTGGTCCCCAGTACAGCAGTGTTCATAGGTGGGGTTTTTAAGAAGTGATTAGATCATGAGGGTTCTGACTTTATCAAAGGATTAACCCACCATGGCTGAATGAACTAAGGGGAGGTTGTGAAAACTGAAGGAGAGATAGGACTTTGTTGGAGGAAGTGGGTCACTAGGCGCATGCTCTAGAAGTGTTCAACTTGTCTCTTCCCACACCCTCCTCTCTCCATGGCTACCATGAGCTGAACAGTTTTCCTTCACCATACTGTTCTGCTATGATGTTATGCCTCAACTCAGGCCCAGAGCAATAGGGTTTCAATGTAAGCCAAAATACATCTTTTCTCCTTAGTGAAATTTACTCAGGTATTTGTCACAGTGACAAAAGTTAATTGACACACAATACTGTGAGCTTCTTTCACAGTCTTTGGATAAATTCTGGGGAGAATAATTGAAATATTTTTATTCTACCATGGCAGCCTTTATTTTTCAGGTGAAAGTAAGATGACTTTTTAGAAGGATAAATATAATCAGACCCTTATTTCTTTTCCCTTTCTAGGTTGTTGAAACATGAATCCCTCTCTCTTCCTGGCCATCCTTTGTTTTGGAATGGCTTCACCTGCTCCAAAACTTGATCACAGTTTAGAAGCACAGTGGCAAGAGTGGAAGGCAAAGCACAGGAAAACATATGACATGGTTGGTAGCACTAAAACTGTCCAGAGGGACCTGGGAGAGAATGGTGTCTATTGTTGTAGGAGTATAACCACAGTAGCTTCTAGAAAATACCTCTTATGAGGCATTCACCTAATGGCACTTATTGTGAGCCCAGTGAGAGAAAACACTCCCTTATTGTGTCTGAGCTTGGAGAATTACTTCCAGAAATGTAGAGTCATGCTTGGTCATGGTTTCTTTTCATATCTGGCAACAAATCCACTGGGTGAGCATAGATTGGGTTGTAAGTATAAACAAAGAGCATTAATGATATGTACTTCTAGAATGAAGAAGGACAAAGGAAAGCAGAGTGGGAGAAGAATATGAAAATGATTGAACTGCACAATGGAGAATATAACCAAGGGAAACACAGCTTCATCATGGCAATGAATGTCTTTGGTGACATGGTGAGTGGAGCGGGGATTGGTTAACTCTGTGCTTCCTCTACTCAGTTCTTTAAAACAACATATCTTCCTTTCCAACATTTTATTTACTTTTCCTTGAAGACCAGAGCAGAATTCAGTAATATGGTGAATGGCTTTCGAAACCAGAAACACAAGAAAGGGAAAGTGTTTCAGAAACCTCTCTTTGGTGATGTACCCAAATCTGTGGATTGGAGAAAGAAAGGCTATGTGACTGCTGTGAAACATCAGGTATGATACTGTTTAATTCAGACCTACTTCCTACTGGAAAACAAAGAGTAATTGACATCTTTACTTTGGTAGATTTTGGAGGGACATACAGTTAACATTTTTTTTTTCCTTAAGAAGAGAATATTCAAATATATAAGCTGTTGTCAAAGTCTTGCTATTTGCTTTTTGTATTCTCCTTTCAGGGTAATTGTAATTCATGTTGGGCTTTTAGTGCAACTGGTGCCCTTGAAGGACAGATGTTCCGGAAAACTAAAAAACTGGTCCCATTGAGCGTGCAGAACCTTATCGACTGTTCTCTGCCTCAAGGCAATTATGGATGTTATGGTGGCCGAATGGATCATGCCTTCCAGTATATTAAGGACAATGGAGGCCTGGACTCAGAGGCATCCTATCCATATGAAGCACAAGTAAATGGATCATCTTGTGTTGTCATTTCAGCTTGGGTTTTGGAAAATGAAACACTTTCAGAGATAAGATGCCTTTTCAGAATCTACTTGCCATATGTTAGAATCAATCTCTGCAAACTCTTAGTGTTATCACAATATGTTGTTAGCCTTTGCATAATTCTCTGATGAGATGGTTAACATATCTTACTTGCATGTAACATGGAGCATGTGAATAGAGTTCTAATGTGAAAAACTTTTTATGAACAGGTAGACCTAGGGGGTCCCATTAAAAATATATGAGCTAATTTTCAATTTTATATCAACTGATAGGATTTTACTTCTTCAGATGATTTATAAGTGTTGACTTAGAAATCCTGCTGCAAACTGTTAAGGGTTGTGGTTCTAACTCATGTTCCCCAGGAGGTGATGGCAATAATCAACTCTCTTCCCTGTTATCATTAAAAGAACCGGCCCTGCAGGTACAGTCCTCAGAACTCCGTTGCTAATGACAAAGGCTTTATTGACATCCCAGAGGATGAAGAGGCCCTTTTGAAGGCTGTGGCAACTGTGGGGCCTATTTCAGTTGCTATTGATGCTGAGCATGATTCCTTCAAGTTTTATAAAGGAGGTAAGTAATTTTTTATAGAAATTGATGCATAAAAATTATAAAAGCACCATGACACACAAATATGATTGACCCTTTGGCATGCAAAAGTTAATGTAAAATTTTTGGTGCATGAATTTTACATATTCATGTTCATTCTATACATGATAAATTTGTGTCTGATGTTCCCCTTTGACATTACTTGAAGTATATCCCCATGAATATTAGTGCCTCACAACATTTTTAAATAGCTATGTCATTAAATGTTTAGTTTACTTAAATTGATTTTTCTAATTATAGGGTAATAAAAAATTTTCCAATATTTTTATTTCTGTTATTAAATCTGAAAAGAGTATCTCAATTCAAGTGTTTTTTGCATTCTATGCTATTCCCTAAGATTGACATGCTAGCAGTAGAATTATTTTCAAGAGTGACTTTTCATGTCTCTAGATATACCTTTTACTAAGGGATAGAAACTAATTTGTATTTCTGTCAGTTTTATATGAGATTCCTCGACTTAAAAACAATAGATCCTATTTTTAAGTCTGATCTGGAATTTGTCATTTCAGGGGATTGAGATGGGTGACAGGGTGGGTCTGTGTCAGATTGCTGGAGTCTCTCACCCCAGCATTGATTTTATTCTCCAGGAATTTATTATAATCCACACTGCAGCAACACTTCGCTGTCTCATGCTGTTCTGGTGGTTGGCTATGGCTTTGAAGGAGCAGAATCGAACAACAATAAATACTGGCTGATCAAGAACAGGTATAAGTTGCCAGTGAGATATAAATATGCAAACATATTTATATTTGAAATTCAAAAGGGTATTCTTGTTTCCACTCAGTATTTGGATACAGGTTCCAGAAATCATTATTTAATCTGGTTGGACATAGAACTACTAATGTGTGATTATAACATTAAGATGTGATCACAAGCTTCCTGGGGGTATTGGGGTATTATTAACATGGTATGTAACACTGTATTTCTAAATTCTGAATTTTTTATATATCTATAATACATCTTACTGGAAAAAATATTTTACTCTTGATTTCTCAGTCTTGTGTCATTGGTATTGCAATTATTTTGGAGTCAAGAGTAGAGATTATGTGCAGATTTAGACTCAAAAGTTTATACTGTGTGAACAAGAACATTTGTCTCTCCTGATTCCTTCTGTGAAGTCTGTGGTCTCTGGCACAGTGCTTAAATCTAGTGTCATTGTTAACAAATCTAATGAGCTTTATTCTCTAAGATGGAAAACTTGCTCTTCTTTCAGCTGGGGTGAAAAATGGGGCATGAATGGTTATATGAAGATTGCCAGAGACAAGAACAACCACTGTGGAATTGCCTCAGCAGCCAGCTACCCCCTGGTGTGAAGTCATGGGCAGTGATAATAAATGCCTATACTGGTGGCAACATGTATATAAGAGGGATTTCCATTTCAAACTGATCAGCCACTATTATCTTGGATCCAACATTTGAGTCATTGAAAACTCAGTATTGCTGTGAATTCTGTGACACTTTATATTGATAAAATTTTATTGCTACTCTACTGCCATAGATAGATTTGTATTATTGAGTCATCTAAATAATTTATCAATTTATTTGATTAATAAATTTTATTTTTTTTGCAAAGGTTGACCATCTTTCTGTTTTTATTACACTGATTTTTATGATTTTTTTTTTGTGTGTCTGTAGTCAAAACCTGTGATTAGGGCCTAAATATATAACTGAATGTGCCAATGATACACTAAGATAAGTAGCCTGATGGATTTTCCAGTTACACATATGCAGATCTTATGCCAGTGACTGTGTCTTACCCAGTCCTTGATTGGAACAAAATTTGAGAAATGATCTAAAAGGACAAAAATAATCGCTTGATAAAAAAATAACTATTTTGAAAAGTGAGCTGACATATATATGATTTCACTGCTAGGAAAGGGCCTGAGAGATGATATTCATGTCACCCAAGATTATTGCAATCCAGTTGAATTATGGAACAAATGTCTCAGAGTCAGTTTCTGTAGCATCTTTCAGAACTGCTGGTGATGAAATTTGTCATTTCAGAAATGCTGAGCATGATTCCTTGAAGATTTATATGATCATGTTGCAGTTGAGGAAGGATAGGACCCCAGGGGATTGCCCATACCATTTATTCTCTGGGTCCACAAGGGATTAGGGATAAATTCCCAGGTTTGAAACTGGTCTTTAAGAATGGTAACATGGTCTTGGAAGATAAAAGACAGGTAAAAGGATCAGAAGTGAGGGCCTAAGGTGTCATATAGACAAAGCTACATGATATATGAACTATTAAAAAGAAAAAAAATAGAAATAAACTTCTTACAATATTGTGTTAATAGAGAGCACAGAGTTCCAAAAACATTTGGTTTTCAAATGTCTCATGTTCCCCTTCAAGAAAATAGAAAGGAGGGATGGTGATGGCAGTATTTAGTGATAGTATCTATCATCCTTGAGAAGGGAATGGGATGCTTAGCCAGGGTCTTAGTCCACAGAGCCTCTAGTAATCTGTGCCCAAGTCCATCTGGATTAAACCAGGTGTCATGATGTCTCCTCTGGTCTTCCCTACTATTTGACAAAATTTCTAACTTTTTGATTTAAATTGGTAGGTGTTACATCAGAGTAAAATTCCTCTGGTTTTATGTAAATGCAGAAAGAGAGAGAGAGAAATATTTGTGAGATTCTGAAGCCAAATCCCTTCTGCAGGTTGGGACCCAAGACTTTATGTAGCACCCACTAGACTTTATGTAGCACTCACTCTGTGCCAGTCATCACCACTGTGGAAGAGTCTTTCCTGACCTCAAGGAGCAGGTGCTGTTACGGAAAGTGAGGTGTTCAGGAAGGACTTTGATGAGGAAGGGACTGTAGACATTAGCCAGAGCACCAGAAAATGAGAAAAGACGAAAGCGTAAGCATCTGAGTAGACTAATGGTCAACACTCCTGAGAACACAGACTGTGGTTAGAGACTCTATGAAGTGATTGTGTTGAGGTGTTGAGAGACAAGGCTGCTACAGAATTGGTTTTTAGGATTCTAGGAAATAACTGATAAGGGAAGTGAAAAGGGTATTCTGAATCAGGGTTGGTGGCATGTACCTGTAGTCCTGTGACATAAGGATCGCTTGAGCACCAAGGAATTCAATTCACGTTATCCTGGGTAACATAACAAGTCCCTGAAAAAAGAAAGAAAAGAAATGAAAAATTAAAAGAATACAGAGGAAAAAAAACTGTCCTGGTCATCTCTTATTGCAAAAATAAAACATCAGGAAACCCAGAAGCTTGAGACAAAACTTTCACATTTTCTGGCTGGACTCAGCTTGTCATTTGAAATTGTTTCCCAGCTGTGAATTATAGGTTTGTCTGGGCTGGACATCCACAGGGCTCTCTCAGTGACTGTTTGTAGATGCTGGTTCTGGCTAGACAGTTACCTTGGACTGAGGACCAGAGTGCATATACAGGGTTTCTCCATGGCTTGGGGCTCCCAAAGCAAGAAATTTTGGGAACCATATATACATAGTTAAACTTTGACCAGTAAATTTTACAAACATTCACAATCACACCAAAGTAAGTTAATAAAGTAAAGTACTATTAAAAGACATGGCTTTTGGGGCATAAATTGAGGATTGGAATAGCTGGGTCAAATGGTGGCTCCATTCCAAGTTTTCTGAGAAATCTGTATACTGCTCTCCTTAATGTTTTAACCAATTTACAGTTCCATCAACAATGTTTGAGTGTATTTTTTTACAAAACCCACATCCTCATCAGCATTTATTGTCACTTGTATTCTTGATAATTGCCATTGAGACTGGAGTGAGATGAAATCTTAAGAGTAGTTTTGATTTCCAAAGGACTTAAAATCGGCATACTACAGTGATGCAGACACATCAATGTTTATAGCAGCTCAACTCACAAGAGCTAAACTATGGAACCAACTTAGGTGCCCCTCAACAGATGAATGGATAAAGAAAATGTGATATATATATATATATATATATATATATATATATATATATATATATATACATACATACATACATACATACACACACAATAGAATATTACTCAGCCTTAAGGAAGAACGAAATTATGGAGTTTGCTGGTATATAGATGGAGCTAAGCGAAATAAGCCAATTACAAAAAAACCCAAAAAACAAAAAAACAAAGGCTGAATATTTTCTCTGATATGTGGATGATAATTCACAATAAGTGGGCTCTAGGGAAAAATAGAGGAACTTTAGATTAGAGGGGAATGAAGGGAGGGGAGGGGGTGTGGGGTAGGAAGGATAGTAGAAGGAATCAGACATTAATAGCCTATGATTACACAACTGGTGTGATTCTACATCATGTACAACCAGAAGAATGAGAAGTTATACTCCATCTATGTATGATATGTCAAGATGCATTCTACTGTCATGTATAACTAATTAAAACAACAACAAAAAAGACATGGTCTCTTTAGTACTACATTTAAAAGTTTCATAATTTATGAATTTCAGTGCTGTTTTTTAAAATATTTATGCTCTCAATAATTATTTACTGGCCACCTTTTAGAAGGTAGTGGTGTGTTGGACTAGGGGACACAAAAGTGAAGCAAATAATCCCTGTTTCTCTCTCTGAAGCCTACATTCCACAGGAGAACCAGTATACTATACCATGGCAGGAATCCATGTGCAAGTGCATATAGCCTGGGCTCTTGGGACAGAGCACAATCAGAACATGTGTCTGCGACAAGCTGCCCTCTAGGGTTCAAGTAAATCCTGAGCAAGTGACATCTGATCTCAATTTCAAGAATTCATGTGTATATTATCTGGGATGAGATATAAAGGGGTAGTTTCTCCTGTGCTATATTATTTTGACTTTTAAGTAATGAACTTTTATTATCTTAATGAGCTATCATATTCAGAAATTCATAGCTCTAGCAATAATATAACACAAAGATAAACTACCCCCTCATGTGTCATTCCAAATAATATACAGATGAACTCTTAGAATTGGGATCATCTACTTAGCTAGCACATAAAGAAAATATTATTATTTAAAGTTTTATACTAGAAGACTGGAAGCACAGAGTACCAAAATTACTTGCCAAGGAGACTCAAGAATTTTGTTTTCTTTTTCTATTATGCAATGAATCAGGAGCTCCTAGTTCATATGGTTGGTAGAGGAGTAAATTAAATTAAATTATTTAAGACAAGTGTTGGTCTTTCAAGTGTGCACAAATGGGTTTTCTTGTTTAGTCCTATTTTCCCTCTTTCTGTGCAGATGAAATTGAAAAATATATAAAGCAGCAATGAGCAATTTGAAGTTAGGATGATAACAATGGAAGAAAATGGTCTTTGTTCATCTCTAAAGCCTACATAAAGTCTTCTTCATCAAGAGTTATCAACTGGAAAACGATTGCATAATAGTCTTCCTTTGATAATTTTAAATTTGTTAATTTGTCCCAGAATTTCTTTATAGAACTCTCCAAAATTCTTCTCTTTGGAATCTAAAAATCCCCCAAATCGTTATAGACTTTATACTGGTCAGAAACATTACAAACAATTCTGGAGAATTTACTCAGTGGCCCTTCCAAATCCTTAGTCTGGCTCTGAGGTCCCTAGTGAGACTGTGAGCCTTTCTCCACATCTGTTATGTGGAAAAACCATCTGCTTCATCCTATATTTATTTCAACATAAATGACCATTGTGAAGGCCCATGTTGAGTTTCAGTACCATACATGACTTGGGTAGGCATAGGTTTACAGGCATATTTATTATATGTTTTATTTTAAAATATTTATTTCCAACAGTTGTTCTCTTTATTTTTATTGTATTATGTCAACCATGGAGTATAATGTCATCTCCTGCGTATTCTCTTGAAAACTGTAATTGGTAGTGACCAGGATAGTGATGAATCATTCAATTGAAGAGGCCCAGATATAGCAGTTATGGATGTTGCTTCACCAAACCAGTAACATTTCATACCTTAGAGTGATGTAGAACATTCTGCTTGTCAGTGCTTTGTTACTATTTCTGGTCAGAACAAAAAAGGCTTCTTCAATGAGAGATCTGCAAGCCACTGATCCTGTAGACAGATCCTCCATGAGAGACACAGGTATATCTTTGGTTCATGCCATGAACATCACTATCTATTTACCATTGCAACTGACATTCAAATAAAATCAGACAAACTCACTGACAAGAGACTTAACATGTTAGTGGTATTGTTTCCAAGTTCCTTTCCCTGTGGAAAGGTCCATACATGTTAAAATAAATTGGCTGTGGAATAGACACATACGAGACTATTTACACTTGATTTTTTTTTTTTTTTTGGCCTTCAAAATGACAATTTTTGGGTGTTGAACTGAATAAAAAATTA